TATAATTGAAATGTGCAAAATGATAGTTTTTCTGATATGTAAACGGAATTAAACTTTGTTACAGTGTTATTCTGTAGTATAAGTATTAAAAGTCACTTCCATAATAAATTATTTTATAACTCAGTACTGTTTGACACATTAGTTGGTAACATTGCAGGGAATGTGTTGTCATCATTATTACAGCTTACGCGTCAGCTTATTTGACCATCGTTTGAAATCATAGAGGAAAGACGAAAAAACACCCCCCCCTTTGCCTCTTTCTCGCTCGTTTCATCGCCTTTCTGCCTTTCTTATCTGGTTTGTTTGGCTTTGACAGCGGCCAAATGGTGAAGCTCTGCGAGCCTGACAGAGAGTTTTATTGATTTAACAACCAGCAGACTCGCAGCAAAGAAAAAGGAGAAAGCAAAAAAAAAGGAAAAAATGGGTAGGGCGGAGAAAGATACAAAGTTTTGAAAAGGAGTGATATGTTTCTGCTCTGCTCCTCGCCAAAAAAGCTGACGTATCCCGCTGGTTGTATTTCATTTGCTATCATTTACAGAAGTCATGCGCACACACACACAAAAAGTTAGGCTGCGTGTAGACGGAGAAAATGTTTAAGAGATGATCTGTACATAGGTCCATCGCTCTGTCTCGCTGTGAGGCCCAGTGTTGTGTTGAGGCAGCAGGCAGGGCGTTCACCGCAGACTTTTCATCAGAAAACATGATATCAAACATAACAGGGCACTGCACAGACTCGTCTCTGGTGTGGTCCCTGAGTGCTCGCGTTAAACACACAAACTTGATCACGGATTGCGATAGCAAACATCTGTAATGGCGCACGGCGCTCTGCAATCTTTACATATTAGGCAGAAGTTAGAATCAAGGGTGCTTCATGGGTGCATTAGTTGGGTAGTCCTTCAGGAACTATCTCATTTAAATATGAATAATAATAAATGAGGCAGATGGGAACAAAACACATACTTGAGCTCTTTTAAAGCTCTTATCTCTAATCAAATAAGGGTCTGTGTTCCAAAGTGTATTTGGTAACCAGAGACATGAAAACCTTTGATAATGCATGCATTACAGCTCTATTAAGTGTGTATGTCAATCTATTTGTGCATTATGCATTTTTCAAAGAGCTCTTTACAACACTTAAAGGGGCTTGTACAAACCCATTTTGCTACTTTACAAATTTTATAAGCCTTTTTGTTAGCGCTACATTAACCCTCTGAGCAGGTACCAGGAGATCAGAGACACTGGGTGGATAAGTCTTGCTTCCTTTCCCCGTGTTGTTGCTGTTGTTGTTGTTGCTGGTGATCTGGCGTGGCTGGTGGCGGGCTTGATTGCTGCTGCTTGTGACAGTGAGTCTGCAGTCCTATCCTGGCCGCACTGCCGCCTGTCTCCTTGATGGCGGCACGTCCCCGAGCAAAAGTGACAGGCGCTTTGGCGCCCGTGCAGATGGCCCTGCTCACAGCCATCACCCACTCGGCAAACCAAACCGCCAGGGACGGCACGCCAGCCCTTCCCGGGCCCGCCCCTTGCTGCTGGTGTTGCTCTGCATATGTGCATCCAGGAGAAGAGAAGGGGCTTAATCTGGCCGCCAGTCACAATCGCACTTCTTCAAGTTGCGGGTGATTGAGTTGATGCGTAGCTTCTAATATTTGTTGGGTTTTAGCATCCTGTCAGAATTCATGCAGCATCTCAAAACAGATGGAGAGATCATTTATTTCAGACTCAAGTTTCATCACGAACGTTGTACGTTTATGGCTTGCGAAGCCGTCCACTTGCTGCCTGTGATTTTTACAGATGTCTGTCTCTGCCAGTCTTTTGTCTGTGGGCTTTTGATATCTCCCTCTTTGTTGTTTCCATGACAACATGGCAGGACAGGAATTGATTGACAGGGATCGTCAAAGGGTTCCCTGGCGACCTGCTCATCGTTCGAAGCCCCTCCCTGCTGCAGTCTGTGTTTTGTCACTCACCCAGGGATATTTCTGATCTGCTGCTTCTCATTCCTGCTGTCTGTGTATCTGCGTGTCTACTTATTGAACACTGCCAGCTATTGGGGTTTAGCTGTTTTTTTTGGCTGCAGCTGATGTGAGTGATTCACATAGGTAATTCCTACTGTATGCTTGCGCCGTTCCTGTGTGCTTGAGAAGAATGGATAGCCGTTCTGCAGGATGCTTTGTATATTAAAAAGGCTGATATGTATTGATAGCCTCCTCTTTTGGAAGCGGGTTAGTGAGAGGGAAGGCACTGTAGCAGAAGACACTCTGCAGATGTGTTGTAGAGAGTACAGCACATAATGCTAATCTGCTGTGTTAGGGATTTTCAGGAGTTTTAGAAACTGTCTCGGTCTCAGTCTGTCAGTGGGATTGAAGCGCAGCCAGGTTCTCCTGTAGTGCTCTCATTTCACAGAAATCCTGTCAGGCGTTAGGGGAGTATGTTGCTCATTTGGAGAAGGGTGTATCAGTAGCACACAGCGAACTCAGACTTATAGGCAATATTATGGTCGGTGGGTTCAGGTTCGCGCTGTAAGAGCAAATGTGTACGAGTGGGGGGGAAAATGCATAAAGTACACACATGGGCACGGAAGGTGAGCATGCGTGCGGAGTCGCAATCGCAAACAGGCACTTACGGAGGCACTCACACGTACGCACATGCACATCATCACATACTCACAGTTGATGGTGCAGCTGCTCACCTCCTCCCCGCCGCCACCCACCACCCTCCACCCTCCACCCATCTCCTCTCAGGCAGCAGTAAATGGTGCCAGTGTATATATATCAGGTATTATGTCCACTTAGATTATGATATGACAGGTTAGCGTGCCGTTTGAAGTTGACAGCACATCTGTTTCATCGGGAGAGACTGATACTGGCATGTAGGACACACATCTCACCATGCAGGAAGGAGATAAAGGAAGAAGCTAGGGGGCCGTCTCTCCTGTCTCCCTGCCTCACTCACCCTCTTCTTTCTCCCTTTTTTCCCCTCTCATTCCGCCTCTCCCCACCTAACAAACCCACCGCCTCCTGCTCACTTTTTCTTTCTCTCCCACGTCTTCTACTCATTCACTTATTCTCCCCCTAACCATCTCCTGTCTGCGCAGCTTGCTAATGCTTACTGTGCCTTTCTTTGCATGCACACACACACTCACAAAAATGCACGCCTCCAAATGCACGTAGTCTGTCTTTCAATCTCGTTTGTTTTTACGTTTTTTTTTCTCCTTGAAACCTGTTACATCTTAGTTCTGTTTCCGCTTGGCTTTTTTTCTTTGATCGAGTGTTTGCCTTCCTGTTTTAATTTGTCTTTTTAAGACATTGTCCGTGTTGTTGTGGATCATCGAACAGCTGGAGTGCAAATATATAAACTGGTTGCATTTGTATCGCTCTCAAACCAGAGAGCATTGTTTTTCCAGTTCCTGCATAGTAGCACAGTGACCGTCAGCTAATTGGAGTGGGTTAGGAAAACTGTGATATCTCCAAAGTGGTAATTTTTTTCTTCTGTCCCTCTCCAGTCGAATAACTTGAATGGGAGAGGAGCTAGGCTTCATGGACTAGATGAGTGAGATGCAGTACAGGCTTGGAAAAGTGAGAAAGAAAGAGAAGGGAGGGAGCTGAACATGTAAGCATGCAGCTGGCTAACAAGGCCAAACAGCCAGTCATTTCCTGGGGAACATGAGGCATGTGTGGAGGAATAGATAGTTGGGAAGGAAAAGGACAACTGTCAGAAGCTCAGTGATTTATTTTTCCCTTGGAGGTTTTTTTCACCACTGGCTTTCAGAGACACATGTGTGCAAAGTACACACAAAGTCATGCATGCATGCAGACATATACGCACACTCACATTGGGTGAGAATAAAAGCCTGCATTTCCCACCATTGAGCATTCATTCCATGTTATTTTGACAGTGGTCCTGTTAGTGTGCTGTAAATCTTTAATTTCACTGAGCTGACCTCTTTTCTTCTCCCCCCCCCCTCCATTTTTATCTCCCCTCTCTTGCTGTCTCTCTGTACTCCAGCGTACATGCCCGAGGACGAGCTTAAGGCAGCTGCTCACGATGAGGAAGAGCACCTGCAAGATGACGGCCTCTCATTAGACGGCCAGGACACTGAGTTCCTCTGCAACGAGGAAGAAGAAGACGTGGATGGGGGCCGACCACCTAGCTACAGAGACTCCCCACTCAGCAATGGCACTAACCCTGACGCTGGATACGGGTCTCCACTTAGTGATGCTAGCGACCGACTTGCAGACTTCAAGAGCACCTCTTCCAGGGATGGTCAGGAGAGGGAGGGCTCAGCTTTTCCCTTCCGTCCCAACAACGGCCTCTCTTTCCAGGACAGCCTGGCACAGATGAAGGCCGTCTATGCAAACCTCATCTCAGATGCCTCTTGGTCTAGCATCACAATGGACATCATGAAATCTAAGCCTGCTGCAGCTGGCAGTGTCAACAGTGCCCTCACTAGTCCAGAGCCTGCCTCTACTGCCTCTGTGGCCACAACTACAACCATAAATAAGAGCAGTGGGGTCAACATGGCTAGCAGTCACCATAACGGCAAGACCTCCAGCACCACTGTCAACCACACAGGGAGCGCAAGTGGCAGTACAAATGGCACAGCAGCTAGCTCTGTTAGCAGCCACAGTGCAACCAGCAGCAGTGGGAGCAGCAGTGCTGCTGCCAGTAATGGTAGTGGTGTAGCCTATGACTGGCATCAGGCAGCACTTGCCAAAACACTTCAGCAGACCCCCTATCACCTTTTACCAGAGCCTAGCCTCTTCAGCACAGTGCAGCTCTACCGACAGAACAACAAGCTGTATGGCTCTGTTTTTACTGGTGCGAGCAAGTTCCGCTGCAAAGACTGCAGTGCTGCCTATGACACACTGGTGGGTTTGACGGTCCACATGAATGAGACGGGCCACTATCGAGATGACAACAAAGACAAAGAGGAAGATCAGGGAAAGCGCTGGTCCAAACCACGTAAGCGTTCCTTGATGGAAATGGAGGGGAAAGAGGACGCCCAGAAAGTTCTGAAATGCATGTACTGTGGCCACTCATTTGAATCTCTGCAAGATCTCAGCGTTCATATGATCAAGACCAAGCATTACCAGAAAGTGCCTCTCAAAGAACCAGTGCCAGCCTTGGCCACTAAACTGGTGCCCACTTCAGCTAAAAAACGTGCTATCCAAGATGCTATAGTCTCTCCATGCTCCCCAGACTCTATCCATGCTGGTAGTGGTGGTGGCAGTGTCTCTCTTGGGGATGTTGGCAAAGACACAAAAGCTGCAGCTAACCCCTATGTTACGCCAAACAACCGCTATGGCTACCAGAATGGTGCCAGCTACACATGGCAGTTTGAAGCTCGCAAAGCACAGATTCTAAAATGCATGGAGTGCGGGAGCTCCCATGATACATTGCAGCAGCTGACTGCCCACATGATGGTTACAGGTCACTTTTTGAAGGTCACAAATTCTGCTTCCAAAAAGGGCAAGCAGCTAGTCTTTGATCCAGTGGTGGAAGAAAAGATTCAGTCTATCCCATTACCGCCAACCACCACCAGACTCCCTGTTCCCAGTACTGTTAAGTCCCAGCCAGTGTCTCCTGCACTATCCTCTGGCTCAGAGGAAAAGAGGGAAGCGGGTGAGGATGAAAAAGTCGAAGGAGGCGAGCAAGTGGAGAAAAAAATCAAGGAAGAGAAAGATGACTCAGGTGAGAAATCTGAGACTGACACCACCTCGTATAAATACCTTAGAGAAGAAGACCTGGAGGAGACCCCTAAAGAGGGTTTAGATATTCTCAAATCCCTTGAGAACACAGTATCAAGTGCTATCAGCAAGGCTCAGACAGGCACGCCCACCTGGGGTGGCTACCCTAGCATTCATGCGGCCTACCAGCTGCAGGGTGCCGTGAAAAGCTCAGCTACTGTTCTACCCCCGACTGTCCAGAGTGTTCAGATGCAGCCAATGTTTAACAGTGGTCTACGAAGTCTTGTGAGCGACCCCAACTCAGTCATCCACTCACCTCGGAGCCCTTCCTCTCCTACTCCCCTAAGGAGCAATGTCACCGCCATGGAGGAGCTCGTGGAGAAAGTGACAGGAAAAGCTGCCACTGTGAAGAAAGAAAAGGAGGAGAAGATGGTGAGCCTGGAACGATGCCGACAACCATCGCTGGGAAAATCCCCTTCCCCTGCACTGAGAGAACAGCGAGAGCATTTGGCATCTCCAAATGACTTTTCTGTAGGTAAACCATCTGGTATGAGAAGTAGCAGCCCGGGCAGTGTAGATTCAGAGCTTATCTGCAAGAAGGAGCCCAAAGAGAGCCTAGTAGATAGCCACAGCAACCATTCAAAGAATGGTTCTGAGACGTGCCAATCCCCAGTAACTAACGGAAACAGTCTTGGCATCATCACCGATCACTCACCTGAAAGTCCTTTCATCAACCCTCTTAGCGCACTCCAATCAATCATGAACACACACCTGGGGAAAGCCTCAAAACCAGTAAGTCCCGCAGCAGATCCACTGTCTATGCTTTACAAAATCAGCAACAGCATGATGGAAAAGCCAGCTTTCAACCCAACTCCTCAGGGCAAGCCAGCTGAGCCCGTCAACCACTACCAGCTGTATGAAAATAATGACCAGCCCATAGACCTGAGTAAAAATAAGTCCGCCACTAATAGCAACAACAACAACAACAACAAAAGCAGCAGTGCACTTTTGACCAACAGTAGCGTTAATGGTAACAAACCCCTTATTTCCCTCCCTGACACAGTCTCCTCACCCCTGAGAGAGAACGCTCTGATGGACATTTCAGACATGGTAAAGAACCTCACCGGGAGACTTACGCCCAAATCTTCAACTCCCTCCTCCATCTCAGAGAAGTCGGACGCTGATGGCAGCGCGTTTGAGGATGCCCTCGAGGACCTCTCCCCAGTGCAGAAGAGGAAAGGGAGACAGTCAAACTGGAATCCCCAGCATCTCCTCATTCTGCAGGCACAGTTTGCGTCTAGTCTGAGGGAGACCCCAGAGGGCCGCTACGCCATGACCGACCTGGGCCCTCAGGAAAGGGTCCACATCTGTAAATTCACGGGCCTCTCCATGACTACCATATCCCACTGGCTGGCTAATGTCAAGTACCAGCTGAGACGAACTGGGGGCACCAAGTTTCTCAAGAACATGGACTCGTGCCAGCCCGTGTTCCTCTGTGGTGACTGTGCCTCTCAGTTCAGGACTCCCTCCTCCTACATCAGCCACCTGGAGTCTCACCTGGGCTTCAGCTTGAAGGACCTGTCCAAACTGTCAGCTGAGCACCTACGGGAGCAGCAGGCTGCCTCGAAGGTGATCACAGACAAAATGACATTCGGCAGCCCCCTGTCAGCCTTGACCACGCCAGAGGACGACACAGGCTCCGTGTACCAGTGCAGACTTTGCAATCGGACATTCGTCAGCAAACACGCAGTCAAACTGCACCTCAGCAAGACCCATGGCAAGTCTCCAGAGGACCACCTGGTGTTTGTCACCGCTTTGGAGAAACTGGAGAAGCTAGACAAAATGGAGAAGGTTTAAACAATGTCTCGAGCTGAGAGTAAAGACTGACAGCTGTGGAACTGACTCGATTTTCATTGCACTAAAAATGATGTTGTTCACAGTTACTGCACTGGGCCGAACTGAGCCGCCAGAAAAATAAAAATAAAAATCAAGTCTTATTATTATTAATTTTTTTTTTGTGATAACTGCCTGACTGGACCATGTCTTTTCATGTCAATTTGTTTTTGTTTTGCCAAGCTTTTTTACACTTATTTTGTAATATATTTATATGCTATTTGTCTGATCTGTGCATGTATTTTAGTGAATCAAGGTTAAACACGAGATTTTAATCTTTTCATGGCAAAAATACAACTACTGCTTCAACGGTAAAAGTGGCGAGTGGACAGAATTGGTGGAAAAGATAACTGTATATTACTTGATATGAAGAAGGTGGAAAATTCAATGTATACACCAAAAGAATGAAAGAATACCCCGAAAGACTGAAGTAGCACCTTAGACAGTTGAATTTGTAAAGAGAACATGTTTTGAAATATCTTGCATTTGTCAAAATCAGATTTTAAAAGATCAAGGATTATCACCCCACCCCCACCCCGCCCCTCTTTCCTTCTTGGGTTTCTGTCACGGCAATGTTTTTGATGATGAATGGCCTGCTCATAAATCTGTCAGTGTAAAAAAGAGGAAAAAAAAGATCACATGAACATTTGGAAAAACTGAAATGCTGCTTCTGGTTCTGAGTCAATCAGTGGAAATGAACGGCCATCGGTATGCAAGTTTGCTGCAGAAACTTTTTCCTTGTTGTGAAGTATCACCTCATAGCAATTTTCCAGGTGTATGGTTTGTTACAACTTTTCTCTTTCTAAACTGTGTCGCTTTATTCAGCTGTAAAGAGAACAGTCCGTCACGTGTAAATGATTACCAGTGAAATGTCAGTACTCCATGAGACATATCTTACCATTTGAAAAACGGCTCAAAATTGTTTGTATCTTAAGGTGTGTGCATTCTTGAACTTTTATATTGTCATTTTTATATACAAAAAGAAAAAGCTAAAAAATAAAAACAGATGGTGTACATAGATATATGCTGTAGAGCTACGAAATGACCTTTTTTTTTAAAGAAAAATACAAATTTAGCTTCTTTGGCTTGGTTTACAGAAATGATTTTAATTATTACTTGCATCCAACTTGATGCATGAAATGGTGTGGAAAATAAATAAGCGATGCACAATGACTATACATTTCAATGTTTTATCGACAATATTGTAAAGAAAGAAAAAAAACCACGACTTTTTAGCACCGATTAGTTTGTTTCATTTTTCTTTTCTCTCTCTCTCTCTCTCTCTCTCTCTCTCTCTCTGAATTGTAAAATAAACCCCAAAGCAGTTGTTAACAGTCAGATTTTTGTGGTTGTGTGTTCTTTTGTCATGGCGGTGCACCAAACTCAAAATGTAAAAACTCGGCTTTGTAGAATTTGCTCTCGAGCAAAGTCAAGTGTGTACACCCATGTCAAATCCTAACCCAGTGTAACAGGATTTCCTCTAGGGGCTATTCTTAGCAAACTGGAGGTGAGATTCGAAACGTCTCGCTGCTGGTACATATTCTGTGTTCTGTAACAGGCCTGCTTTTATGTTTTTCCCAAATTGTTAGACAAAATAAAAGTCACTGGTGTCATACTTACAACTGATGACTGAGCCGCATCATACCACCAATGATTATAATGATGAAGATGACGGGGATGATAAGCCTGTAAGGGTGCCTATTGTACAGTAAGAAACCCATGCTAGGCTTGTGACTGGCCTTCGGAGGGCCGTTCTGAAAGAATCAGTGTTGTATTAATGACGGCAGTGTATTTTTTGCGTGTCTTCTTGGAGCAAAATCAGATGGCTGTCTGTTCTGCTTAAGTTTTAAAAAAAAAGGGGCAATAGGGAGCCTATAATCAAAACTGAATAATACATTTTATGTGATTCTTGAGACGCTATGGGTGAATCTGCGGCCTGTGTCACATTAATCACAACCAAATTGAATACATGTGTGCGATAAATGCTACTATTTTAGCACATGTACACATTTTTTTGGTTGATTTGTCCAACTGTATTTTTTTTTGATGAAGTGTCACTTATCACTGGATACAGGCTTTTTTGTGTGTGTTTTTTAAATTGTCAGTCAGATATAGTGGAAGTTGTTGCAGTTTCTCGTTCCACTTTACTGATCATTTTCAGATATTTCGTAATTACTGTTTTGGACAAATCACACAGCTTCTGTGTCATCAGTTTTGTGTTTTAGTTTTGTTTTGTTTTTGTATGTGTGTGTGTGCGCACAGTTGACTTTTGTTATGTTTCACATCCAGCTTTATTAAATTTATAGAACTGCCTCAGTATTCAGCCGGTGTGAAAGCTGAAAGGAGATTTATTAGGGGCCACGACCTCTGTGTGACCCCCAGCCAAAGGTATCAACAAGCTTTGGGGTTTTCTTCTCCGGGCAGTCCCGCAGGTGAAGCGTCTGCATCAGGAATCCGATCTCTCATCTCGCCCTCATGTCTCAGGTTTCTGATAGAGTACTTACAGTACCAGCCTTTGTATGGATGAAGCCATGCTGCAGTGTTATGACTTCCATTCCTCACACTCACAACATGTCTTGTGTCAGCTGAGTCAGTCACACATACTCAGTCTCCCAGCTATATTAGCACGAGTGTCTTTGTGCAATTACACACCTCCTCAATCTGACTGCACCTCGCTGTGTTGATACATGGATTCAGTGACAAAGGAAACACAGGCAGAGGGCAGATTAGCCCTGGCTGAAGATGCAGCTTTCTCAGAGAGGGGACTGCTAGAGTTGGGTTATAAAACAAACAAGGCAGATAAACAAGCAACATTTGGAGGAGATAGTGTTCCCTGCACACCAGAAATAAAAAACACCTTGTAGGTTTAATACCCCACAGCTAAACCTGTAATTTTGCTGCGCCGTCAGATAGCTCCTGAGCCGATAGAGACTCTTTCTTGCTTTGTTAGAGATCAGTGCACTGTTTCCTGTGCGTATTCTATGTAAATTACATGCGATAATCGCCACGCACAGCACAATGCTGGTTCCCGCGGTGCAAACGGAAACCGAGGGTAGATAAACGCAGGCTGGGCAGATTTGCATAGCCTTTGTGTTTTGGGCGCTCCTGAACGTGAGCCCTGAGGATTGGTAGGGATTTCCTCAAGGTTTTGTATAAGTAAATGCCTGCTTCCTCCCAGGGCTTGGACCATTATGTACAGCAGACAGGGGTGGGTGTAGACAGAGGGCGCAAACGGAATAACAAAATTACCTGGGCTGGTGGGAACATGGGGAGGGAGTATTAACCTACACACACACACACACACACACACACACACACACACACACACACACACACACACACACATATATATATATATACAGAATGTATATATGGGATAGCATGGGAATGTGTACTCAGCTTTACACTCTTATCCAGTACATTGCATAAAGCACACTGTTATCTGTTAAAGGCAGTCATAGAGAGGTGTCACACTAGGGTTAGGGCTCACAGAGAAATGAAGCTGAATGAGACAGGGTTTGTTGATCCAAGCGCTCGTGCCGTTTGATCTCTTCTCAGAGGTTCACCTCTAAAGTTCCGAGGCGTGTTATTACTTCAATATGTGCGCATGCTCAGCGGAAACAACACCTGTGGTTTTCCCTGACAAGTCCTTTTGAACAGCTTCGCATGTTCCTGGTCGTCGTTCCAGGTTTTGTGTGTGATAGCGACGCGGAGTTCATCGTCAACCACGAAACAAAGACAAAGCTCCCGCTGAGGATCCCGGCGTACGTCTGCAGTGTGCAAAACCTCTAACTTTTTGCACACAACTCTGACGTATGGTTTAATACCCTTCCAAAATACCTCAAACCAAACAAACAATGTCTGACAGAGAATCAGCAAACAAAGCAACAACGACTGAGAGCCTTTGTACGGGATCAGAAACTAAAGTCGGAGAAATCTGTTCGGATCCTGATAAGAGGCTTCATTGTGGAAATTGCATTCGGGAAGAAGTTATCAGTATTCACGTTTAGCTGAGGATACCTGCCTCTGTCTATTTTTATGTTCATCTAAGTCACTTCGTGGACTTGATTCATTTTTGTTGCTAGGCTTCTCATTGTAAAATGTGAGGCAACTGTTACACGGATTTAAGAACCTTAAGTCATATTTTTGTCAGTCAGCTCTTGGAGCAACTTTCACTTTGTATTTTGAGACACTTTGGAATGTCTATTATTATTATTACTGTTTAACTTTTCACCTGTAACCTTCCTCATATTGTTCATAGCTCACTAATAAGATTGTAAATGTATTAAAATGTGTTGATTTTATTCATTAAAGCTCACATGCTACACTGCTGCTCATGTGCAATACCCCAGCTGGTTTGAGTAGCAGTGTATCTGTGCACACATTTTTTTTTTCTTTGATGGACATGCAGCAGTCTTTCATCAAGGTGGGTTTATTTTGCGGTGGGAGGGTTGATGTGACAGAGTTGTCTTTAGAGAATGATGTTGTTTGACAGTAGCAGGCTAACGGATGTAGGAGATCATCTCAGTCTGCCAAGCCTTTAGTTATGATTTGGTGGTGGATGAGATCTGCAGGTGTGTGTCGCCAGGCCCTTCATCCATCACAAGCCCGGACAAAACACAAAGCATGGGCGGGGGTGGTGGTGAAATGTTTCCTCCAGCTTGGTGGATGAAGGATGTGGTTTTACAAAACAAGATACGATACCTATCCATTCTGTTCTCACTGTGTCAATTTTTTCCTGCCTTTTTTGGTCAGGAACGGGTCTGTTTTGTTGTAAGTCTCTGCCGTTTTCAGTTTCATTAAGGTGTACGTTAAAAGGCATGTATCTTTCCATAAAATATGCATTTGAATTGTTAATCCCTAGGATATAAACATGCCCTGTGCCCGGTACGTGTTTTTCTATGCACACCTTCTCCATGTAGCAGCTAATAACTATCTGTGTTTGGCTGTTCACCTGGGGACTTGTCTATAGCTGTGATAATAATCTATATATGAAAGATTAATGACATATTTCCCCTCATCCATTGTGTGTATGTATGATTTAATCACTGACCTCTCAGGGTTTTTCTTTTCTTTTTTTTAGCACGAGAACTACCATGTTCCTGTCGTTTCCTATTTCAAATCAAAGAGGTCAACATAGAAAATGTCTCAAAACCAATTTGTGTTTCAAAAAGACCCTTGAGAAATAGTGGCTTGTGCTGTGCTTGATATGCACAAAGACACTTATCCCTTATCTATCTTTTCAGAGAGGAAAGAGAGGGAGATGGAGGGTGAAGTGCTCCAGGAATCAGTGCTGCCTCCATGAGATATGATGCTGCTTGATTTTGATCATTGACATTTGCTTTTTCATGCATCCTGAAAAACAAGGCCTTCCTTCCATTAAGGAATTATTCAAATGACCTTCAACAGTGCATGTTTTCCTACAGTTTTGTTGTGGGAATATGAGAACACATACTGACATCTCAATTACTTATGCAAGGCTCAGAGTGGGCCCAGTGGATGCAATCACCGTGTGTGCAATCCTCAGTCACTCCGAATCACAGAAGCTCCCGGACAGACACACATAATTCAGACAAGTCAGACAGGATTTGCATACAAAGACCACAAAAAAAGGGCATAAATAAAAAATGCACCAAGAGAAGGTAGAGATTTGAGAGGAGGGGAGAGGATGAGGACGGGGGTGGGGAGGAAGGGGAGACCGGTAAATTGTTTTAAAAAGGTCTTGCATGTCATGCTGTGTATATCAAAGGATGTACAGAACTGATACCAACACTTGGCATTTGGTTTAGTGCTGCACACCACTTAATAACAACAAAGGACAAAAGCCTCTGTGTCGATTATGATTTTTATTGTTTATTTATTATTGTTTATTGTGTCAGTTTATGATGGTTGACTATTTTATAATATTTCTCGATATCCGTGGACTCTACATGAATCCAAACACATTAAACACTTACTTTCACTGCTTTTTAACCAAAAATCCACATTGATAAAACACTGGACCAAAACATTTTTTTTTTAAACTTCCACCCTCACAGAGGTGACACACTGTCTCATCGCTGGTGATGAGTGGGTGGTGGGGGTGGGTGCTGGTGGTAGGGGAGTGGTTGAAGGGGTAGAAGGTGGTTGGGGGCAGGCGGAGGGGTGGGGTGCATCGGAGGCTAACCCGGCATCCCGTCATTAGCGTTGTGCAGCGGAGACGCAGGGGCACCCTGACACATGTCACGGACAGCCAGCCGAGAGCCCACGTATGAGGCTGACACGCTGCGCATAATTTATCCCGTGACACGATCTGCATGTCGAGTTGTTGATCTGTTGTGTTTGGTTTGGACATGGGCGCTCTGGCAGGAAAGACAGAAGGGGGGTGTGGGGGTGAGGGTGCGGGGGTTTATTATGCAGGTGGGGTGTGGGGGAGTGGGGCACGAGGAGAAGAGCGAGGGCGAAGAGGTGGCAGAGTGTATGCGTGTGTTTGTGTGTTAGTGTGCTTGCTTGTGAGGGGCGGTGGAAGGCGGCCTCTCGTTGTAGCACACACTGAAGGGGGCGACACATTTGTCATGTCCACTGAGAAGCAACATATACATAAACAAGTGCATTCAAATTCACTAATGCAGACACCCCGACTATCTCTTTCTTTCTTTGTCGCACACAAACACACACACGCACACAAGCACAATCGCACTTTAGTGATATGAATGTTGAGTCACAGTGAAATCACAGCCATAATCTCGTCCCTTAAGACATCTGCTTGTGAGTGAAAATGACTAATATTGTTGAAATGACCCCGTGTCACACCGTTGGATGTGATTGTTTTCCGGGCTTCAGCTGCAGCGTGTTGTTAAAGCACGGATGACACCACATCTCATCAGCCTCACATAATTTTTGCTTCACTGACTCAATAAAGTATTTCAGGGTGAACATGTAGGTGTGTTTGTATTTTCCTTTAAAGCCGAGCAGTGCAATGAAAGAAAAGTTTAATTAATCTCATTTCAAATTCTGCAGCAAATACGGCTTCATTATGATTTACCTCAAATATGTAGACTTAATGTGTTGCATGTACATCAATACTGCAAGGAGATATCCATGAGATAGTGGTTAATTACATGTGTATATGTCTAAGTGTGTGTGTGTGTGTGTTCTATATATTCTCATCAACCATCAACTTCTCATGCTTTCCTCCTAGCCTGGCTCGTTTACATGAATTATGCATATGACCAGACTCATTAGAGGAGCCCCTCCCTTATCACACTCCTAATCCCTGCTGTTGCTGCGGTAACCAGATTAGACATGACCGTGAGATACAGTAGGCCCTCGAGGCCTCTTTCTGGACAGGCCTCATCCCAGGCAGGCATGAATGAGGGTTGAGACATGTTATAGGCCTGCAGGTCACCTGTCCAGTGGTATTACCAGACTGAAGCTGGTGGTTAATGGGATATATTCACTTCAGTTAGGTTAAGACAGTTGCCATGTAACCCACAGGCTATCTTCCAGCGGGAGACGAGAATTGGAGTGTTTAAATTCCTTCACCATGTAAGGAAACAATCTCGGTAATCTTTACTTGTCAGTGTAACCAAATGATGGTTGAGATTTAAAAATTCAAGGCGTAAATTTTCTTTTTGTGTCTTTGCATACATGTGTGTCAGCTGTGGGTTATTAAAAAAAAACACACAACAGTTTTAACCAGTGCTCTCTGCTTAAGCCGAGCTAGCTCGTTTCCAAACCTTCCGCACACTGTGGTTGCCATGGAGAGATACTATAGAAAGAAAAAAAAAGTTTTCATTGGGTGTTAAAAAAAAAAGACGACTTTGTCAAATGTATCCCAATGACCAATATAAAGACCTCATCTGGTAATAAAGTTGAAGGCCATTTCCTCCACAGGACAATCAAAAATAATCTTTCACCATGTACGTGAACTCATATGCAAAAGAAACTTACACTCTTCTAATCACACTAAATTTAAATATTTGGGGTTCAAAGACAAAGAGCTTGAAAAATATCAAAGTTGTAAATGTGGCCCTGTCTGACTGTAGTATACATGATCATTATATGACCATTTGCATTACAAATCTGCTTTCAGTCCTAAAAAATACTCTTTTCTTAAACCCCCACACAAAAAACAGTTAAAATGGAATAATCACGCACACACACACACACACACACACACACACACACACACACACACACACACACACACACACACAAATATGTATATGACTAGCAGTGAAGGAAAAGCAGAGATATCCATATTGTTAATCAGGAGGTTGTTCTATTGGAGT